TAAATGATGCAGCATGACTTAAGCTACTATAGAAAAATAATAAAAGTCATACATCCCATGCAGTTTTTTCTAGAAGCAAATTTTCTAAGGCTTATAAAAAAGTACTATTGACCAATGTTAAATACACCTCTATATAAAATGGCAGTTTCTATAATAACCACCTTTCATATTCATATTGTAAAATCCAGAGAACAGTGTTTCAACACATGCTTTGCTTATCATCCTATGATTCATCAAACGTGAAATATAATGATTTGAATAACATGATTCTGAAATTGACACCTTTGACTAGGATTGGCTGAACGTTTTACAACTGTGGTTTAACAAGTCCAGATGCTGTTTTATAAAGAAAACAGACTAGAAAAAGGTTTAGATACCAATCATAGATGGCAGGACCAGTGCTAAAGTGCAAGTAAAAAATTGTTAAAAATGTTGAAAAAATTTTTTCTTAGAGAGTGCTTATTTATAGTCTCAACCATATTTTGGGATTTTTTTTTATTAAATTTCTCTAAATTTCATTAAATAATTGAATGTTATGCTACTATTCACAAAAATGATTTTGCCCTCACAATAAGACAAAATGCCCCCCGTAGGTAAGGGGGTTAAGTATATACTAAGTTGTATATTATCTACTGCTGTTGTTTTTATTACTATATTTGTGTCATGCTCTTTTTTTTTAGTGGTATCATAAATGGTTACAGAAGATCAGTTAAGTGTTTGGTATTTACTTGGATCGAATGTGACTAAGTTAGTTCACTGGTTAGTATTTGTATTTTCTTGTGTAGAAAGTTGTTTACTTATCACTTAAGTATTGTGTTTATTAATATACTGAATCACTAGCTTCAGTAAGGTATGAGTGGATATATACAAATGGCTGTTGATAAAGTGTATATGAAAATGTTCAATTTTTATTATTTGAGTATAAATTGGGTGGTTTTCACTCTCATGGTTAAACAATAAGTAACAAAATAATTTGGATTAAATTCTGTGTCTAAGAGTTCTGTTATTCTTTTGATATGAAGTAGTTTTTTGCTTTTTTTTATAACTTCAATCTAAACCAGTTAGTGTCTGACCTATTATTTTTGCTAGTAATGTGAGGTTTTTGTTAAAATATTGTATTTTGATGGTTTGAGTCTCAACCAGGTTGCTAGAAAGGTATGGAAAATAATGTAGTTAGCTAGAGGGTTGTGATATTATGTGGTGCTTACAGGCTCGCTGTGGCGTTATGTCCGTTCCAGCATGTCCTTGTCAGGCTACATGCCTCCTTTGTGTGACCCCATAGATGGGCACCTGCTGCTGGATGGAGGGTATGTCAACAATCTACCAGGTAAGTAATTTTCTTTGTTGCACTATCTATCTATCTACAGTTTTCTGCCCCCACTGACCAGAGCTCCCCCTGTCTGTTGGTTGTTCAATCATCTAGGTAGCCTGTGGCGGTATGTGCGGGCCAGCATGACTTATGCTGGGCTTTTTCCACCGCTCTGCGACCCCACTGATGGGCACTTGCTTCTCGACGGCTGCTACGTCAACAATTTACCAGGTACACTAACATTAACACATGCTTTCTCCCTAGCATGAGCTGATTTAATCCTGTAGAACTGTATTTGTATTAATTTTTTGTTGTTGTTGTTTTGCATGCATGATTACTGCTTCTCTGCAGTTGTTATGCAATTATTATTATTTGCTACAGACATTAAATATTAAAGTTCAGTTTTTTATAGTGTTGTTTTGCTTTTCACTTGTATAAAATGTTTAGTCAAAAGTAATACATTGCTTAGATGAGATGAGTTTTAATTAGCTGCTTGTTTTGTTATTTTGAAGAGATGTAAGTCTCTATCCAGTTGGTCATTATTATTTTCTAATTAATATGGAAATAAAAACTGAAATATAGTACATTACTGTTTCTGTTCTTCTACATGACTTGTCAAGGCCTTTTTTTATAAACATGATTACAGCCCTCTCAGGTGTCCTGCAATTCCTATAGAATATTTCCATGTCCTATATTTCTTGTATTTAGTCTAAAAACGTCTGTATTTCTTGTATCTTTGTGGTAAGTAATCCAGTGTATTTGATGTCAACAGATTTTGTCAAGTGAAAATGCTCCACATTATCATACTTTTTTCTATATCTTGAATGATCATAAAATTAAAGTGCATATATGATTACTGCTTGGTTTGAGATTATTGTAGAAATCATGCAGCTTGTCTTTGGCCAATATATTTCATTCCAAACAGTGGCCATAGGTATACATTATTTCTGCACCAACAAAACCAGTTACGTAGACTAGACATTAAAACAACTGGTATTTTGTATTACAAATACCAATTTGGAAAATATTTATTTAAAATACAACTGCCTATTGAACTTGAAGATGTATATCTTATTTGCCTGCACTGTGATCATGATGATATATTACACTGTGTTTGGTATGCTATGCCTTTGTAGTGCACATTTCCATTGCATTGTAATGGTTATCATCAACTGTTATAGAAGTTGTATTGTATTTGAAACCGTAGGTCTAATCATGCTTATGTGTCCTGTAGTGAGTGTTGAATATGTATTACTGCACTGTTTTTGGAGTTATTACATGTACATTGTCAAACCAGTTTACTGTATATAGTTTGTAGTTTAAGTACTGCTTCAAGCCAGAGATGTATTGCTTATATTAATACTTACATATTGGTATTATGTAGTTGTTAGATGGCAGGTTGTGCGTCTGTGAAGTATACACATGTACTGACATTTATGCAGCACTTGTCTGTTCTTAATAAATATGGTGGGTTTCAGAAGTGTTCCTGCATTGTGACTGATGGTGAAAAAGCAATGACTGGCAATAAAATGGGATTAGTCAGTTTGTTTAAGAAAAATGAAGTGGATACTATCAGTCTTCCCTGTTTTATATATATATATATATACACCAGGAAGCATTGTGGGAAGGTTTTGAAGATGAGTGACATAATGGGCAATGTTGTCAACATAATATAAATCACAAGAGGCATCAACAAATCCAAAAGACTTAGGAAAATCATATCTTTTATTGAAGAAGTGAACGCAAAATTTAGTGATTTACCATTTCACTCAATTAACAAATGGCTAAGTACAAGGAAGTGTCTTTGGCATTTTTTTTTTTATCTTAGAAAATAAATCCTCTCCTTCTTCCAGAATGAGAAAATTGGCAACCCACATCAAAAAGCAAGATAAAGACATCCTTTGCTACTTGGCATTCCTGACAAACATGCTGAACCTCAGGTTGCAAGCTAGGCAACAGAATGTCTCCCAGTTGCTGGGACACATCGAAGCTTTACAAAAGAAACTACATTGTGCTTTAAAAAAAATGATGTTACCCACTTTTCTTCTTGCCATTGTAACAGGTGTGCCAGTGAAAGCCAGTTATTTGGATTCAACTTTCCAAGAGTCACAGAAATTCCAGGAAGACAGCCATGTGTGTGTGTGTGTGTGTGTGTAGCTGAGTGGTCACATAGGCCACCAACTAGAGGAATTTACATGTGAACAAAGAATTGACTCAGAGACTGATGATACAAACAATATAAAATACTTTATTCTATATCCATATCCAAAACATTTAAATATTCATTGACATCGAAAACACCAAAGTTGTCTTGGAATTATTCATTGAGTAAATTCTCTATGAGATTCATTAGTTCTGACACTATATGGAACAAATTATCCACTAAGCTGTTATATAAGATATATTCAGACATACTCCAATTTAATTTAGCAATCTTACTTGAAACATCATACACTATACAATGTTAGCGTAGAGAGGATGACATATGATAGAGTTTGCCTGTTGAAGGCTGTGAAATGGTTGCAAAACTGCCACCTTTTTTATTGTTACTGGTATACAGGAGTTTGTCTTCTGGACTATTCGGAGAGAACTGATTTTGGGCCTGAAAACATGATGTTTTAAACATAATTTCATGTGTTATTGCGATTCATCAATTAGCATCTTAGGACCAGTCCACAAGTAGGTCCTTCATCGAATTGGCTTAATTTTGTTGAAACACTGCTGACTTCTTGAACCAACAATTGACACTAATTGGATATGGTCAGAAGCTGTTAAATAGCTATCTATTTGCATGTATCACTTCTTTTTGTTTATCAATCCATTTCCTTAGTTAGCAAAGTTAACATAATCTTTTCTGTAGCCCCTCTCTCTGATAGGTATGTTCAATTCTGTTTGTATGGATAAGAAGAACCACCTGATTTCACAATTTGTAGACTTGTCTCATTCAACATGTATATGTTACTTTAATATAAACATTTCCTTGTTTGAACAAATGTCTTTACAAAGCTTCTATTATACATATGGTATACATAGCAAATTATATTTTTCTCTTCCAGGAGCATTTATAATTTCGATAAAATACCTCAAATGCTTTCCCGTGAATTGTTAGTAGATGATAGCACAGTACTTTTCAACCTTTGTAGAAAAAAATGAGAATATTTCTGCTGAGTTTTAAGAAAGATTTGCAGTCTTTTACACATTAATGCCAAATCTTGGTAGATGATAGCACAGTACTTTTCAACCTTTGTAGAAAAAAATGAGAATATTTCTGCTGAGTTTTAAGAAAGATTTGCAGACTTTTACACATTAATGCCAAATCTTGAGCTGTTTAACAGCTCTATGGAAATTACCATGGAGACACAGCCATCAGATCTTCAGCTGAAATTATGTGACATGCAATCTGACCATTTTTTTATTAACAAAGAAAATCAAGAGTCATGATAGTTTCTAGGGTGTGTTTCCCAAAACACATACATCTGTGAAAGCAGATTTTCTGTGATGAAGCAAGTGAAATCAAAGACACGGAACATGATGGATAATGACACATTTGACGCATGCCTTCAGCATTTGACATCTAGCATTGAAGTTGATTCACAATCACTAATGAAAGAAAAGCCTCACCCCAATGTTATCATTAATAGGTAAAATTAAAACCAAAATATTATTTATTCAAATTAAAATTAGTACTTCATTCTCCCTGGTTAAGATAAGGATCACCTTCATGGTCACACTAACAGAAAAGACTGAAATCAGAATAAATATTTCTTAAATGTAAAATGAATAGGCAAGGTAAACATTAAAGGACAACATTGTATCAAAGTTTTGTAATTATATGATCTTATTAGAAATAGTATGTGTGGCCTGTAAAGCTAGATTAAGAGTATTCTTTTAGTCAGCAATGCTTGAGAAGTTGGACCACCCTAAAATACATTAATGCTTACATACTGGTATTATGTAGTTCTTAGATGGCAGGTTGTGGATCAGTAAAGTATACACCTTTACTCAATGTGGGATACTATAGTATACATCTGTACTTGATGAAGGATACTAGAGTATACACCTGTACTTTGTTTGCTGACAGGTGCAAAGTAAAACTTGTGTACTTACTTAAAAGTTACTTTTCTGTTACCAGTGGTTACTCTTTTAAGTTAGTACATTATACATACTGTTTTTATTCCTGATCATTTTCCATATTAGTCTTTGTCTTGCACCAGTTACTTAAAGAAACACTTTATTGTTAATAATCTCTTTCATTCACAAATATGTATCAAAAAGTTATCACTTGCATAAAGTGAATTATGTAGAAATCATAAGCTGACACACAGATGTTGTTTTAAGCTGTTGGAAATATGAGTACAAATAATTTGTATTATTTTTTATTCTTGTATTTAATCTGTACATTTTGTGAAAAATACTCTAATATTTGACTTGTCTTTTTTGGGGGGACCCTGCTGAGAGGCCTGTAAGTAATATTTTTGGTCAAAAAACTCTGCAAATATAAAAAATTCATTACAAGCTCTTTACAGTGATAAGTGTATGCCAGTGCTTATTATCAAAGTGCCTTTTGTTTTTACTGCATTTTTCAGGTAAACTGTCATCATGAATGTCCTCTGTGAAAGAGCTTCTATTATCATAAAGTAAAGATAATTATATTTTAGACAAATTACATGTGTTGTAATACATTGCACTGAAAATGTAATCAGAATTTGTATTATTATAGCTATAACAAGGCAAAATTGTCAATGACCTTTGTCAGTTTATTAATATACAAATCAACCACTGATGAGTCACGAGACATGAAATGCAAATTATGAGACATTAAGTTATAAGTAAATCACAGAGTGCCTGAATGTGTTTGTGTATTATGGCTTGACCTCAAAGAAGACATTTTAATATTTCTTTCATGTGGAGAGCCATTGGACAAACAGAAGCTAGTATTCACAGTAGGCTGTTGTAAGTTGGGTATATATGTCTGAGGGTGTTGTGTGCAGAATGTAGAATTGATTCCAATCAGTGGTGCAGTTTCTTAGATACCTGGACAAGGGAGATTATCAGCCATAACACGAACAGATGACTTTTGTTGATTCTAGTTCACTGATATTCTAGGGTATGTGCTTCAAGACTGAGCCATATGTTTACAGCTGGATAAATTTGCCATATCAGTATATAGATGGTTCAATCACACTTTACGAAGTTTGCCTCTGTGTAAAATGGCTAGTAAGGTGTGTTCCAGCCACAGCCCATCTGTAGTAGTGGTGTCAAGAACATTCCCAGTAGAGGAATATTCTTTTACAGATGGGTTACACTTCATCCAGATTACAGCTATATACTCATTTTGAGAGAACATGGAACTACATCCAATCCCATTTTGATACAGGAACGTAGTGCACATACTGGAGATGAAGAGTAATGTTAACAGGAAGTAAATATTAGAGAACATACCAAGTTCTACAGCATTCATAAATGTACCATTAAAGCCCTACATTTTAGAGATCATAACCTATGACCCTATCATAGTTCTTGACTGGTTATCACATTCCTTGAAGAAGAGAGAGAGATTATCGGAAATGAATAATCTGTATATTTGCCAGACATCATTCCCATCAACCTTATAAGGGATTCTCTTTGGAGTTGTATTGCTTTCCATCGAATGAGTCACCATGCTACCAGTTAAATAAAGCTCTTTCATAACAGCATCCAAGGATACCTCAGAGCCTTACGAACACTAATTTTAAACGTTCAGCACCAGTTCTAGCTTGCTATTGCATTTTGTGATGAACTTGTTCAAAATTAAAGTGAAATGTCATGAACTGCAAAGGTGTGATGCTACCTCTATGAAATGTTCATATATGAGCATCACCAGTTGTACCTAAGATGGTGGATTATGAAATGCCTGATTTACATAAAGCTGAACTGAATAGGTGATTAACATTATTTCATAATAGTAGTTTTGATTTATTCTAGCTAAAATATTATAAATTTCAACTATCAATTATTTTATGCAGTGTATATCTTCCTATTTAGACAGTTTAAGTATCTTAACATTTTAATAAGCAATGCTTTCTATACATGTTTTTCTTTCACTTGTTCTGCTTTTAGATTCTGCTTGCATATGTAGAGTAAAAAATGATGTATTTTATGTGTAAGTGCATGTATGTCTGTGGACATTCCACTCAGCATGTTGGCAACAGTATGACAGCTATTAATATTACACTTTTTTCTTTTAGCAGAATAGGTTTATTTTAAACAGAAGAAGAATCTTTTACATGCAGCGTGGTTGTTGAAAGTTTAAAAGAAGAGCTATTGCATGTTTAGACCTTCTCATTGCATGTTACACATTCGTTTTTCACTGAGTAATACTTTTTTGACCATATTTATCACATGCATTCTGCAACATTATGAGAAATTTTTCTATCATTCTTTTATGAAGAAAGAGGAATTATAACAGTTTTTCTTTATATTAGTTAAATGGTCATTTCAAAGTCAATAATTAGCATTTTAATTTTTGTTGGATATATTCAGTAATATGAACATTATCATCCAAGGTAATGCCAGCATTTTATATAACACATGTTGATTATGAATTCTAGTTCTACTAGTAACATAATAATATATAAATAATGGGCATAACTTTTTGCTAAAACTGTTTCTGCCTGCAAGTCTGTGTCTCGGTATAATGACAATAATTTTTAACATTATTATACCCAAATTGACTTTTTTTTTCTTCCATTGTAGAATTAACTGGTATTTATATATATATATAAAAAATCCACTCCTACGAAACATGCTTGACCTTTCAGCTTTGACGGTCAATCCCACTATTTGTTGGTAAAAGAGTAGCCCCAGCCCCAACAGTCGGCAGTGGGTGGTGATGACTGGCTGCCTTCCCTCTAGTCTTTCATTGGTAAATTAGGGATGGCTTTCAAAAACAAAACAAACCAATTTATAAAACACTAAATAAGTACTACTTCCTGTGTATTTAGATATACTGTTTAAAGTGTTAAATGGTAAAATGGATCATGAAAATCTGCTGACAAATGATAATGTCTTAGGAGAATCAGTTGTAACTTTAAAATGTTACAGAAAATAGAAATGCAACTGAAGCAACTTTTTTAAGTTATGAATACTGTGAAGTTCAGTAGTTTTGGTCAAATAGCTGATTTGTAACCCTATTTCAATAATTATGGACATACTAGCAGCTTACATAAAACTTGTGTGAATACCTTTGATACTTGGAAAGTATTAGCAATAAAAAATAGATAAATCACAATTAAATAAACCTTTTCTTTTTACCTGTTATATTTGTTTTCTATTTTGATTTCATTTTTTAAAGAAATTTCTTTAATATTTCACTTTTGATTTACTTTTCTGTGTTCAATTTTTCCCTTTACTCTGAAAATCAGACATGCAACATTTGTTGTCTGGGTGACTACTATAGATTGTTATGACATCATAACAAAAATAATTTAATTGACTTTTATACCTTCCATCTCTTTCCATTTTGTTCTTGAGGAAAGAAGTTTTACTTTCTGAAAGAGACTGAGCTATCAGTTTGTTAAGGCCCCACAGTGGCCCAGCAGTATGTCTGTGGACTTATAATGCTAGAAACCAGGTTTTGATACCCATGGTGGGCAGAGCACAGATAGCCCATTGTGTAACTTTATGCTTAACTTGAAACAAAAACAACAGTTTATATTATGATTTTCAGGGTATATGATTAAAACATGACATTTGAATTACCAATTTTAATATTTTTGTTATCTAATTCTATAACATTCTTTCATGTTATTTTAATTTTTCTTTTGAAATTTCAAATTTCAAAATTTTAATTTTCTTTAATCTTTACTACTGTTTTCACTTATTTATAAAAGAAGTTGACAGTTGTGTAACTTTTTTGATTAAATTCTGTGCTTCTTACATACATTATAAAACTATTTGGGTGATATATACACATGTACAATTTTAAATACAAAAGGTATTGCACACATTAATACATTTGTTAAATATATACTGATACATTTTTTCCCATCTCTGTTATTTTCACTTAGTATGATACTGTACTTTAAAATGCATTTTAATCAAAAATAACTTGTATGAAAAAAAAATGAATGTTAACAAAGTTTACTTTTATTCAGTCCATGAGATAAACTTTTTGATGACTGTTAAACTTATGGTACAATCATTGTTGAAAGTATAATTTTAGTTACATTCTTTTTTTTATCGGTTTCCAACCAGTACGACTGTTTATGTTAAAATATCAGTCACATATGTGATGATAATAATAATAAGGCAGTCTCATCGATCTGTGCACATTTTTATTAAAATGATGTGAGAACACTTTTAAAGAAGCTGTCCACTGCTGTTCCATTACTGAAACAAGAATGGACTGCAAACTTATTTTGAAAAAATATGTATATGTAATTCAACAACTTAAATATTTTCTCTTTCTTTTCTTTTTTATCCCATTTAGAGGCAGAGATACATCACGGCAAGTGTTACGTGTGTGTACATACATATATATATATTTAAGTAAAATGTTTTATATTTGTTCATTCAAACAAATCTTTCATTGCATCTTAATAATTTATGACGAGAGTGCTTGAAGTGAAAGGATTTTATCATTTTTTTTCTTTTTGAAGTTAAGTCATTTGTATTCTATGTCCTACTTGAATTGTTTATTTAAAGAGAGCTTAATATGGTTCAAGCAAGTGAGGATTGATAGTTTGATGGTAAATATTTCTCAACCTGCATTTTTTTTGCCAAATAATAATTGTGTTCCAGCTTCATTGACTGAAGTATGACACTTAAGAACCATTTTACTTTATTAGCTGATGTCATGAGGGAAAGGGGAGCTGAAACAATTATTGCTATTGATGTGGGAAGTCAAGATGAACAAGACCTTACAAACTATGGAGATACTTTGAATGGGTGGTGGCTATTATGGAAACGATGGAACCCTTGGTCCAGCCCAGTTCGAGTTTGTATATAGTTTAGTTGTCTATTAAATAAATGAAGTGTTTTTATTTTTATCAGGCAAGAAGTTCACATTCTTTATTAACAAATTTACGTGACCACAATTTTAGAAATGACAATATCAAAATTATCAAGTAGTAGAGAAACAAGTCATATATGTAGTTGGATTACAATATATTTTTCACAGATCCTTTTTTTGAAATTTTACATTTTAAGAATTGACACAGGAATTTGGTTAAAGTAAAAAAAAAAAATAATATATATATATGTAAAAAAATGTTAGAATGTGTACACATTTTAACTTTTGGGTCCAGGTTGAGGTGTTTACTCTGTATTGGAGTTACTTTGTGTGTGATGCAGGATTCTGTAAGTTCAAGTGAAATTATTAAGGAAATTGTCTAGGCTTACAGTTTAATGTGTTTAGGATTACATGTTTATTAAGTTTTCAGCTGAGTTTGATATGTACCTTTATGTACAATGTATGAAATACTTTTCATCTTATTATATATGCATTACTGAAAGTTTTAAAGCAACTTACTCTGTTTTTAGGTTCCGAGTCTTCCCGAAATTCAGTCTCGTCTTGCATATGTTAGTTGTGTACGGCAGTTGGAGCAAGTAAAACGTAGTGATTACTGTACATATGTTAGACCCCCTATTGACAAGTACAAAACATTGCAGTTTGGATGTTTTGATGAGATAATGGCAAGTACAATTTGAGTTGAATGAATCATAAAATACAAATAGGTATCTTTTTCTTAACATACTCTTCATTGACAGTATGTTTTTATTGTATTATGAGTGTTAATTACTGAAGCTAAAATATGAACTTGCAGTATCTAACCAGGACTTTGAAATAGATTCAAATCTGTTAAAATATTTTTTCCAATTATGACAGAATATATTTAGCTGACATGAAATATGATCGACCAGAAAAAGTAAGATACTCATCTTATTTTATTATTTGACAACTTCTGCTTGTCTTTTTTATTTCTCAATATTTTCTACTCATCTTCTTTTTATTATTGAATAATTACCTTTCTGAAATTCCTGATTAATTTGAATTTTGTATGTTATTTTAATAATTCACTCTGCATTGCAAAAAACGTTTTTGGAAAATAATGTCTCACTATTTTGCCACTTATTTTTCATATGTGGTCAGAAATGTCATGCTGTTATTTCCTACAGTAATTAAATTTATCCATCTAAAGAAATATATAGTATCAAATTTATACTTAGTTTTAATCCTTTTTACACTGAATAAAAATTTAATATTGTCATCACAGTGTTGAATATATATTCCACAAAGATGAAAAACACTATTCTACATATTTTGCAATTATAGAGAAACTACACAAGATATCATCACAAAATCTTCACACGATCAGTAGAATAGTTTGAACTTATAAAATGTTAATTTTAGTTGACATTCTGTGATAAAGTCTACTGGTAATTCCACTTTTTTCTTATTGATCTATATTGTTATTTTATAGTTTTGAACTCCTGCTTGTCTGTCATCACTGTAGAAGTTGTACAGTTCATGGCATGGAATTGCACACATTGATACATTGCATTGTTTGCATTTAAAGTTTGTTTGCACTTTCTAGATGGGTCACTACAGGCTACACAGTTTGATTTATACTTTGAATCATCAAACTGGGCAACAGAATGTCTGTCTATAAATCTGGCTGGAAGATCAAGGCAAGATGGTTGGCCTGAACATTTGCTGCTTTTTGAAAGCCATGCATTAAGCTCTGAATTGCTTGATCATGAATTTTTCTTGGCCCTTTTGTATTTTCTCCTTGATCAGAACTGTACGTGATTTAAGTGTTTACCAGAGCTACTTCTCATATCCTCTGTTAGGTGGTATCATACCTTTTTAAGGCCTTGTGAGGAAATGCAAAAGTTCCAAGCTTTTGATTCGGCATATCGATGCCACCCATATGCTGGTTATGTATCACAGCTATTACAGGATTGTCAATTTTCCTTTAGGTATCCTCTTCGCTTCTAGCATGAATCTGTTTAGCAACTGTATTATAAGTGTGTACACTGGACAAGTGCCCCTTTACTATAATAAGTGATAGATTTCAAAGCGTAGCCGAATTTACTATCACATAAGGTATATTCTTTTCTTCCCCAGTGTGTGTGGGTTTAGATGGCAGATACATGGCTTTTGATTTTGATGATACTCTAGCTGCCCTCTTCACTTCTAGCACAAATCTGTTTAACAACATTGTATTATTAGTGTGTACAATGGACGACAGGTGGACCCATTTTGTATGCCAAGCACAAGCAACAAGATTTTATTTTTGCATAAACACTGGACCATCTTTTCCCAGATGGAAACAGTTTGGATGAATCTCTGGTTGCATTCCTTGATGTCCAGGCTTCACAGTTCCAGATGCCTCAGTGCCAAACCTTTCTAGTTCAGCAAATGATTTTGGTGATGAGAAGAAGTTATCAGTATACATTATTTCACTGCTGTGTTCATATTTTTGCAATATTTCAAAGCAAATAGATTCAGTCACAGAAAACCCATCTTAAGCAACAAGAGTCCTTTTACCCCAATAAATGATAAATTTCAAAGCATAGCCAAATTTTATTTTATTTACTATCACATAAGACATACTGTTTTCTTCCCCGCCGTGTATGTTTGGATGGCAGATACGTGGCCCTTAAATTTGATGATACTTTCATCAATACACAGGTGTTTACTTGGGCCATATGCAGTGCACGATGGAGAGTGTCACAGGTGTCCAAAAGTGGTTGTATTTTCCATAGAGGAGCACATCTAGGCTGACCCTGTTGTGGTCTGTCAAAGCCATTGTCTGTAAAATGGAGAAAGGAAGTTATTAGTTGAACCTATCTCTCAACATTACTTCACTGAATGGAGTGAAGGTGAGCCAAAAAGGTCCTCTACTAGTCTTCAAGTTCATTCTTCTGGCACAATCCCATTGCAATCTGCAGTGCTACATAAGCTTTTCAAGTTCAGTCTTCTGGCACTATCCCATTGCAATCTGTAATGCTACATAAGTTTTTAGTTCAGATATATTTGTATCAATTAATTTAAGAAAATGAGACTTGGGTGCAATGTCAACAGGTTTGTTTGAAAACTGTTCAGCCTACCTATTTGTGTATTGAGAAATAAGTTGGAAAACTTCATCTGAAGAAAGCATTTGAAAAATAATCTACAGCTTAAAAGTCTGTAGTATCCACAAGCACATCACATTGATGGTTATTCTTAGGTAATCAGTCATTTTTATATAGATCAAAGTCATCAAAACCTACTAATCATCAATTCAGGTTGTTGTTTTTGTTACACTTTGAGGGGTTCTGGTAGAACTGCAAATGCTTGCTGCTACTTGTCCTGAAGCTCTTCCTCTCTTTTTCCCATTCCCTTTCTCTGTCTATGGCATTGGGATATGTTTGAGCATGTTGCTGGGTGGTTGAAGGAGTGGGTGGCTAGATTCTACCTTGCTGTTCTCTTCCTTGTGCATGACCCCCTGGGTATGTGAATGTGGAGGTCCCCAGTTTCTGAGAACATCTGACCAGTAATCACTAGCAGACTCATCTCAGCTATCTGTATTGGAGCTTTGTAGGTACACAACTACACTATCATTCATTCTAATATTTTGTGCTTCATTAACTCTGAATACTTGCATCTGTGACGTGGATGTCATTTTTAAAGGTCCAAAATGTTATGCAATTTTGACCTTTTTTGCATTCATAATCTTCATGATTACTATTCATAAATGACACTATTTTTCAAAAAAAAACACATATGGAATTTCACAAAACAATAATATATTTTAGCCAAACAGACAAGGAGTCATTATGTCACCAAATGTTACCAGCCGTGCTCTGTTTATGTGTCAGCTTTAGTCGCCATCCATGCTAAAAGGTTTAAAGATGGTCTCCACAGGCCAACACATTTAAGGTTGTTTCAAACAACTTTACTTGTATCTCAGCTTTGTAAATCTACCATAAGTCACCATATAATACAAGAATAATACATTGTTGCATATGTAAGTTAGTTAATATTTAAGAAAGTGTGTTGTAAAATGCCACTTTTTTTTTCCTTAGCCATTTTTTACTGGCTGTATATAACAATATGTCAGATATACTGACCACAAAAATTAACATTAGAACTCTAGCACTTTTATAGAGAAAGTGGAAAGATACAGAAATACTTGTAAAAATGTAACAAAATTTTTATTATAGTGGAAGGATTATTAAAGGATGATATGTTGTGACTAATGAAATTAAATACTTTTATCTTTCAAAATAAATATGTAAAAGCTTGCTTAGATAGGGTAATTGTATTAAAATATTTTCAGAGTTGTTAATGGACAATATCATGTACTGTATATAATGTTCTTGTATTATTCACCTATTAGATATCGGGTTACAGCATCAATATAACTGTACTCCTTTAATGTACACTTCTTTGATAAGTGACTTTTTTATTTCATTGTCTTGTATGCATTATTATATTTCTTTTTTTTTACTATGTGTGTGTGTGTGAATGTTTGTACAGGAGGTTGGTTTTCAACATGGAAAGGCATTGTTTACAACTCTTAAACATGGTCACAAGTCACTCCACAGTTTCTTACATCATGAGAAAACAGAATATTATCACCAGGTAAGTTAGAGATTTCTTAATAAGAAAAAAAATCTTATGTTTAACACAGTACATTTTTAACCTCAAAAATGATATCAAAAATGTTAGCGGAGACATCCCAAATCATGTCTAGAAAGAACAAAAAAACAGCTGAGTTATTTTCTTAATTTAAAAGGAAATCATTCTTGTGAAATGATTGAATTAGAATAATATTTTATAAAATCTACTCATTTCCTAAAGTTTTATGATTTGTAATCAAAGTACTTTAATTTTTATCAGGTAATTTTGGAAGTGGCCAAACCAAGCTTTATCATCTGCTGAATCTAGTTTTAAACTTAAATAAATTTGTTTATGGTTTAGTGAGTTGGAAGTTTGGTGACTTATGAAAAGTACTATTATCTGCTGAAGCTATCTGTTTTGCATCTGAATAAATCCAGGTATTTTCATCAGTTAAGTAGGGAGTTTGCTGAACCAAGCACTCTCTATAATCTGATGAATCTGTGTTTTAAAAGTAAAGAACTCTTAAGTACCATCATTAAATGAGCTAGGAATAATGCTAAATCAGCCGATATCATCTGTTGAGTATGTATGTTTTGTTTGTAAAGGAAATCAGTCATCGTTGTCAGGTGAATTACAAGTATGCTCACCAAGAACTGACATCTGATGGATATGGTGATACAAAGAAAAGTCAAACAGTAATAATAAAATAACACAATATCATGTGTAGCAAGTCGTGAAAAAACCACAGTTCCATTTACTGTGGTTTTTCCACTAAAGTCAAGCAGTGTCATGAAAATTAGTAAATTCTAAGCCATCAAAGCAGTTGATTATTTGTTTTTTCTTTTACTGGCTTAGTTTTTGATCTTAGTTTGCATTGTTTATTCTTAATAGCTTTGTTTGAATGAATTTTTGTTTTTGAATTTAAACAACACCTTTTGAATGAAGCTAATGCAGGAACATTATTTTTATTAAGTCAAAAAAATTCACTTCCCAGTCGAGAACATAAGGCTGTAATTAAAGATCATGAATTCTTTATGGGTATTTTTTTTTCACAATATTTACTTTATTATGTAACTTTAGTTTCAGTTGATCTCTCATTTATAGATTATTTTTTTTTACTTCTACTGAGCATGTTACAGTTCAGTTTTGACTATATTTTCTTGTTATATAGCAGAAGAAGAGTCTACAGCATGCATCTTTCACTGATCTTGCTGCGATGGTGTGCCAGATTCAAGAACCTAGACGTTCCTCTTTATATGATGGTATAAACTTTATATCTTAAGCTTGTAAAAAAAAAATTATAATATATATTAGTAACTGTTTAGATGAGTGATCAAAAGAAACTTTTTGAAAACTATTTTTAATATTTTCAAGGTTTTTGTTTCATTTGTCATAAGTTTTGGATTGCTTTGTAACAATTTTGATTTATAAAAGAACTTGATAAAATGTGTATCAAACTAAAACTAAGCAGTAATTATAAAAATTATAAATGTTATTTTAGCTCCACCAGAGGAAGTTGAGGAAGATGAAGCTGATGAAAGAGAAGTTGGCTATTCTTCAGAACCAGAAACTAATTTCCTTGGAGAACTTGACAAGGTAACATTGTTTCAAATCAACTTTAGTATTGTTTATGTCTATGATTTATATTTTTCTTTAAGTTGTAACTTTTTTTGGTGCTTCATATTCTCATTGTGTGTTAAGATATTAGTAAACAATTCATTCATCTCTTTGTTATATCATATTGTTGAGACAGTCTTTTTGGACTTGGAATGTTAAAGAAACAAGTAACTAATAGTAATTTGGACAGTTTATCTATTACTCTTCATAAAATCAAACTACCTGATATTAATTTTCAACAATAGCTTTTATGTGATTTTGCTTAGCAACAAAAGTATAACTGACATTGTTGTTAGTCTATGTACTAAAAGTGTAAAATAAAATGTTCAGACAGCAAAACTGGAAAATATTTGTTGACTTCTTAATTTAGTGTCTCCATTAATTAAAAAGGTTTGTCTGATATGTATTTTTAAAAATTGAGATTGGTTGTAAATTAGATTTTAAATATTATATTTATCCAATCATATGTGTTTGTTGTTATTTAGATTGCAGTTGGCTAAGGTTTATGTGAAAATATTACAGGTTGGAGTTTTGTTAAAAAACAAAAAAAAAACCTGAGATCTCTGCCCTTTCTTCAGCATAGTATTTAAATTACACAATAGAAAGGTATAATGTTAGGACATAGAATAACATTTTAACTTTATTTAGCAATAGTATTAAGTATGGTAAAGTTTAAAGAAGAAAATATACACAAGTTACAGTGGTAATTAATCTCTTTATTGAATATTGGCTGTACTTAATAAAAGCTTAGCTAATGTTAGGCCTAAGACAAGTAGACTTTTTGGTGTCTTGGGATTAGAATCCTTTTGTATCGTTTTGAAATTGAAAATTCTGATACATCAGTTTAATACTTGCCATTTGTTTGCTTCCTGTTAAGTTACTTAACTGGAAATATATTTGACAATGGTTTAGGCCTGTAGTCCTGTATTTAAAGAAATAATGTTGCAATAAAGGTCTTTGCTAGTATTTATATAATAACAGGATCTGTGTATATCATGCTTTTTGTATTAAAATGACTCACTATTTGTAAAGGAACTACATCATTAGTATTTAGATGTTTAGTTATTTCTAATATCATTTTTCATTTGTTGTGTAGAACCAGAAAGATTTAGAGTACTCGTCAGAACCAGAATTTGCTGGAAACATGCCAGATGATGATGACCAAGTGAGTAACAGTTTAACTCTAGTCTACTAGGGTGAATTTTGATAGAGGTTTAAACAGATTCCAAAATATGTTTTTTAAGATAAACTATAATTTGTTTTAAAAAAGTATATTGTGTTCAAAAGCTTCCATGACAAAAAATTTTTATATTACAAAAAAAGAAAACAAAAGAAAGTTACTTGAAGTAATATAGATCTTACTCTCATATTTAAGGATTAATGAATTGTTAAACAGACCATCATATTTTGTAGGCAGTTGTATTTTTTTCTAATAAATATATTTTCAAATGATCAAGATACACTTGCAGTTTTTGATAAACATTCAAGCAAAAATTTCACATAAGAATGAAAACAGAAGTTTCATATGGTGATGTTATGGTTACACAGGTATATAGACAGGGCTATGATATTGCAATGATCTTTAAAGCTGAATATTGACTTCACAAAATAAGATGTAAATATACATATAAATAAGGCAGGAACGATTTTTTTAATTGAACTACACCATCTTGAAAGTAATGGTGTTAGTTTGAGCAATAAAAACTTAGGAAATATGTATAATCTACATAAAAGTTGTAATCTTCCCAACAGGATGATATGTCTCCAATACATTCTAGAAAGATCAGATCTTCCTCTCATTCTGAATATTTGGAAGGAGAAGCTGAAGAACTGTGATTTTAGTACTGCTGGACTGTCTTATATGGAATGCTGAGTCATAATCTCCACCTAAGAGAGAAGGGGGAATGATAACTTTAAGTACTTTGGAGGAATATCTGAAAAGAAGATTAAGTTTTGACCATTGGTTTTTCATGTACTTAAAGGATAATATTGATTGACAGTTTAATTGATTTAGAAACAACCATTAAAAAGAAATAGCTCTAACTTTATTCCTAGCATCTTGGATGAGGATGATAGAGTACTGTGATTTGGTGTAAAGTCAGTAAAGTATCCTATAAAACAGATATGTATATATATATACCAATCTTTTTCTGGTAATTTGGTTGTTCACACAATGGCACAGGACATAAAGATTTAATCTATTTATATTATTTTATATGACCTTGATAATACTGCAACTGCAAATCTTCATTGTTGTTTGTATGAGTTTTAGGTATATGTGGTAGAAATAACTTTTGTTTTGTTAACTCATTAATTCCATAGAGATACTATTAGACGAAAGTGTTGAATCTTCCACAATTTATAAAAATAAAAGTTCAGAAATACCTTGTGGTAGCAGTAGATGCTGGTGATGTTAAAATGAAGAGAGAGAGTGCAATTATGAGACTTGTATTAAAATTAAGTTTCCCTTTCTAAATATCATCAGTACTTTATTGTTTATTCTTTTGTAAAATTTGAATTAGATTCATTGTAATATGTGTGTTTAAGTAATCGTAGTTTTATAATAGTGAATGTATTATTTCGTGCATATTTAATAATATACGACAGTAGGAGGTCCCAAATTGGAGATATTGAAAGAGCATTATAGGCATTGATTGTTGATTTTTTTCTATTTCTTCTTGTTGGCTTTATAATTGTTGATTAGTTTAAACTATGTTTCAACTAAAAGTTAAGAAGGATGTTAGATATCCTGAATAAGAAGTAGAAGAGTTGTAGAACCATTAGGTTTTCTTAAAGTAGAGTACTGGGGTCATTAAATTGAATAAAAAGTATATTTCACACCAAAAACAATTTTTCAAATTAATATGGCCTAACACTTTTTTTACAATTTTCATTGGAGTTTCTAAAATTTACTTACAAAGTAAAATACCCTTTAGTATATAAATTTTATTTTTTTAGTTAAATGTAGTTCATGTTTATTGTGTTCCAATGTACTAAACTAATAGAAATTCTTAGTTATATTATTGATTAACTGCCAAATGCTATTCTAAACATATACATAATATTATATGGAAAACATTTAACAATTAGGAGAGCAATTTCTATTTTAGATTTATCATATACTGCAAAATACAATAACTATGCCATTACATGTGTTTATGATTATGTTGAATTTAGTATGGATATCTTAATAGGTTTGTCATTGATAAAGCTGTGGATTTGTTTCAATGTATGATATACTTCATTGGAGAAGTATATATTCAAATCCTCATTACATATTCTAATTTTAAATATTTGTATTCAATTCAAAAGAATATATACTGGTTGGAATATACAGCTATAATCTGTTAAAATAGGGTTAGTGAAGTCATATTTATTTACCTCAGCTTGATACTGTTATTCTTTATAAAACTCTGTTATTTAAAACTCAACATAATTGTTGAATTGGCCTAACTTACAGTTTAATTACTGAATTGGTGAATTGGCCTTTCTTACTGTTTAATTACTAATCAAAAAGTGAAAATAAGGCCATGTATTATTTTTTTATCATACTTTTCACTTTTTTTCTTTTTTTTTCTAGAATCTTTATTTACATGGCTGAAAGTAGTTGAAAGTTGTGGCTAAATTAAAGATATATTCATTCTAAATAAAGATATAATAATTAATATAAAAATATATATACATAGAACTAGCAACTAGTTACTTCATGTAACATGGTAGTTTGCATAAAGATTTATTTTTTTTAGTTTTTGTTTTGAATTTCATGAGCAGCCAGTTTTTTTGGAAGACACTAGTCAGTTGGAATGTATAAAACTTATTCTGAACATTTTTTCATTATACACGAACACAAAGAGCCTGTTATTTTAGCTACTCATTGTCAGTTTGGAATTATTCAGTGTACATTTACAGCAGAAAAACGTTTATTCACATAGGCCTTGTTTTTTAATATACTTTCCAGTTGGTTGTTATCTCTGGAGTCCATCGATGGCTGAAAGGTGCCATAATTAATCAATGCAAATTTGTACATATTGTAATTTGTATAATCAAATATATTGATAGATAATAACAAAAAATAAAACATAGTTTTTACTTTTTGCCTTTGATTCATCATTTCTACTTTTTTTTCCATTTTTTAAGAACAATGTGAAGTGTTTAAACTCAGCAGCTCTACACTATCTATTTATTATATAAATTTAGAAGAATGTTCATAATTTACAAGAACTCTGGTAAGATAACCAAACCTAACTGTCAGCAAGTCCTTTTCCAACCATTATGAGCATAAAAAAATTATGTTGGCCAACATTTTGAACTTTCAGCTTTCCTCACCTGTACTTACGAGGGGAAGGAATGAACTTGATATGGGAAGACAGTTGAAAAACATGAACTTGAGATGGACAATTTTTGAGCTATGTTTTAGAATTCAAGTCTCCAATCAGTTTCTACTTTTAAATTAATAAACCTACTATCATATAAACAAAAAATTAGGGCTTTAAAAGCAATAAGTTTGCATTTTATAAATGCTGGAATGATTTCAAAAATGAGGAGGTAACCATGTTTTATTTGGTTCAGTGCCATGAAATTGACACATTATATACTGCCCAAACATAACATTAAATGTTGATAAGGGACCTATGTAAATCTATCCACTAAATTAAACACTAAAAAAACTCAAAGCCAACCCTTATATTAACTGCATCTACCATATTTGAAGGCAATGCATTTCAATGGCCAAACACCCTGTTAGAATAGTAAAGTTGTCTTAGCTGAATATAACTTTTACCCTTCCAATATTTATATATCTGTGTTCCTTAGTTTTATATTCTCACCATTAAATGGGAAAAAAGATAAAGCATCAACACAATCAATTCCTTTAACAATCTTAAACACCTCAATCGGATCCTATTTAACTCTTCTTTTTTTAAAGAGAAAACAATTTCAGAGATCTTAAACTCTCATATGACAACCCCTCCATCTGAGGCACCATTCTGATAGCTGTCCTCTGAACCCTTTCCAACAATTCAGTGTTCTTCCTAAGGTAAGGAGCCCAAGACTAAACACAATACTCCAAATGTGACCTAACCAATGACATTGTAATAACTTTAGACTTGTAATCAATATTTCTGTAGATACAACCTCAAATCCTATTTGCATTGACACTAGCAACAGAATATTGCTTCGATGTCTTAAGAGACTTTGTGAGCCACCCTGGCTACTTGCTTGCAGGCACACCCTTTTGTCTATAAAAGTATAAGGAACATGGCTATCTTAAATACTTAAGAATCAATTTTAAAAAAGTTGTCCACATCTAATCAGTATCTCCAACTAATTCAGTTGCCCAATTCACAGCAGATAATTCTTCTCTCATGTCTTGAAATTTGTTTTTTTTTTCTTTTAATATGGAACCAAATATGCAGCGAAACAGCAAATCTGATTGGGAAATTATCACTTGCACTTACACGTTCCCCAGTGTCTACCCTATCAACCATTTCTTTATTAGCAAATTAACAATAAATGTAAAATAGCTTTCACAGACGTTATAAAAAAATAAACCCAACTTTTAATAAGGAGATAAATTAAAATTATTAATTTGAAATGGGGAATAGGGATCGTCAAAAAAATAAAGAAACTAGGCTGTAAATAGTGTCTACATTATTTTCTTAAGCTATAAATTCCTATTTTTACTTCATGCCTACAGTACTTATCAATTTCAATGGAGTCAAATAGAGAATTGTTGCTTGAAATAATAATGTAAATGCTATTTCCAGCATACTTTGTTGTTGTTTTTTAGAGCCCCTAGTCGTAGGCTTGCATTTTGATTCAACATGTTTTTGTACTTTTTTGACGATCCCTATTACCTATTTAAATTAACAATTTTTAATTATATTTTTTCTAAAGTTTTTTTATGGACAATAAATTTTGAGCTACATATACATATCCATTCAGTTCAATGTGGCATGGCCAGGTGGTTAAGGCACTCGACTCGCAATTTGAGGGTCGCGGGTTCAAATCCCTGTCACACCAAACATGCTCGCCCTTTCAGCCGTGGGGGCGTTATAATGTGACGGTCAATCCCACTATTCGTTGTTAAAAGAATAGCCCAAGAGTTGGCGGTGGGTGGTGATGACTAGCTGCCTTCCCACTAGTCTTACACTGCTAAATTAGGGACGGCTAGCGCAGATAGCCCTCGTGTAGCTTTGCGCGAAATTCAAAACAAACAATGTGACATATGCTGCATTAGTCTTTCCCACTCGACTAGACTTCTGTGGCATAGCAGTATATATACACAGCGTGGTCACAAGTAAATAGACACCACCTTTTCAGAAAAAATGAAATTTTTCAATCATATTGACATGAATTGATATATTTATAATTTCATTAATATCTAGTAGATCTTCCTTTCGCTACGTAGAGTTCGTTGATCCTTTGGGGCATCGTGAGAATCATCTCGCTTGCTTCAAAACTTGGAGTAGATCGCTCTTCGAAGTTGTTGTTTTTGTTTTTTTTTTGTTGTTGTTGTTTCTTGATTTGCCCGTCGAGTATGGCCCAAAGGTTTTCGATGGGGTTCAT